AAAAAAGTAGATCATAACTATATTTATGATAATTTTCCAGGCAAATTTGCCTGGAAAAGCCTACAGTTTAAGGGATAGTGTATATACACCAGGTGTAAATTAAATAATTTTCAAATTAAAAATCTATTCGTTTATAGTGTAGACAGGTATGCTAGTATAGAGTAGGAGATAGTGAGAAGAATAGTAAAGCAGAAACAAATTTGGCAATCTTAGTAATTTTGAAAGCAGGTTTTTATTTTTTTTTTTTACTAATGATTTTGATGATAGATTTTTTATAGGCTATATTATCTTTAGAGACAAATTGATATTATATTTGCCACATAGATATCTAATAACAGATAAAGTAGCTGAAGCTTCAAAGTAATAGTATATTTTGGTTATATTTTTAAATGCTATAGAAATATATTTAGCTAGTTTTTTGTTTATGAAAATAGGTTTAGAAATATTGAAAGAATCTTTATAGATTTTAATCCCAAAGCTATTATAGCATGTTTTATAAAAATAGTTAAGATTTACAATATTAGATTCTTTAATAGTTAAAGTAGATATAGTATTTACAAATTTATTTAGTAATACTGGTTTAAAAAATTTAATAAAATTTTTGATAATTAGAGTTTAAAGTTATAATAATATATAGTGCTTATAACTAGAGTAGCAAACTAAAGCTAGGTTCTGAGATTGTATTATAGTTACTATAGCTAGTGTGGCTAGTGTAGCTTATATAATCCTATATTTAACCTTAAATTATATAAAGTACAACTAGAGTGACTGATGTGACTTAATGTAAAATTTGCTTAATAAAACTAAATTTGTAAAAGTTTTTTTATGCTAGTGCTGTGTAAAAAATAATAAATGCAGTAGGCTGAGTTATAGATTATAATAGGAGAATCTGTCTAGATATGATAAATAATTTTATAGAAGAAATATACTGACACAGCATACATATAACTTATCTCTGTTATCGGCATAGCAAATGATCAACATAGTATTTTTAAGTTTTAAAACTATGAATAAAGATATCTCACCAACCTTCAAAGCAAATTTGATGATTTTTTTATTTTGATATTAAATACTTTTAGTATTAAAATAAAAAAAAGTTTATCAAATTTGCTTTGATGGTTGACAAGATATTTTCATTCAAAGTTTGGTAAATAATTAAAACATTTATTAAATAGAAGTATAGATAATGAATTTTGAATTTGAGTGAAGATATCTCAACAACAATTTAAGCCAATTTAATAAACTTAATTTTTTTCAATTTATCTACTTGTAGAATTAAAATAAATAAAGTTTATCATTTTTTTTAAATGGTTGTCAAGATATCTTCGATTAAAGTTTAAATGCAAGAAAAATTTTAAACAAAAATATCTCAACAACCACTCAAGAAAGTTTGATAAAATTTTTTTTTATTTTAATTCTACAGACTTGTAAGATTAAAATAAAAAAAGTTACCAAATTTGTTTAAATAGTTTTTAAAATATTATCATAAAAATTTGGTAATGAATTAAAATATGAAGAGATAAATTTTTTTATATTTTAAATGAAGAAATCTCAGCACCACCAAAGAAAATTCAATAAATTTTTTTTATTTTAATTCTACAACTTTGTAGAATTAAAATAAAAAAAAAGTTCATAGAATTTGTATAGATAGTTAGCAAGATATTTTTAAAAAGTTAAAAATACATTAATGTACTTATATTGATCATTTGCTGTGTTGATAACAGAGATAAGTCACATGCATGCTGTGTTGGTATATTTCTCCAATTTTATATTATACAAAAAATGTCTAAAGTAAAAAGATAACAATAGAGAAAACAAAAAAAAAGTAAAAAAAACTAGGATAATTAAATTTGTTTTAAGCAATATTTTAATAAATATATATTAGACTTACAACCTTCTTTGAAGACTTGTTATAACCATAAGAATAAGCTTTATAACTTTTCTTAATAGTTCAAGAGTAGTTGTAAAGAAGGTTTCAAAGAAATAATCAAAAGAAACAGTTTAGAGGCTAAAAGCTATTAAAGTAGTTTTATACGATGAGTTTGAAAATTTAGAACTTGAAACTTTTAAAATATATGTAAAATCTTCTTGTAGACAAGTTCACTTAAGATGATAAGGACAATTTTCTTAATAAAAACTTGAGATAATACTTAATTATTATAGGCAAATTTTTGGTACAAATGATCTATAGAAAGAGTTTCATTGATAATTTTATTATAAACTTTAAGATTATAATAAATTAATGAAAAAATTGGCTAGTTTCTGTAAAGTCTAATCACAGGCAAAACAATTAACTCTTTCTACAAGAATTCTTTAAAAAGCCTTCGGTATGCTATAAAACTTCTAAAATGTGTAATATAAAAGTTAAAAAGTAGCATAGTACAAAGATTTTTGAAAAAAAGAATCATTATAGAAAAAATTATTATCCGTCAGATTACTATGATCGGGCTGCTAAATAACTTGGGTTATTTTGCAAAAAAAAAGTTTATTTTGGTTATTTGGCAAAAATTGATAGTTTATTTTGGTTATTTGGCAGAAATTGATAGTTTATTTTGGTTATTCGGCAGAAATTAATAGTTTACGTACGTACGTATGTAGCTTATGTCATTCTACTGTTATGTACGTACGCTTTATTTTACTAAACACATCTATAATACTGTATAACGTACTTTGCGTATGTACTTTTTAAATAAATTTTTAGAATAAATCGAAAATAGATAATGTATTAATTTTCAAATAAAAAATGTATCGACCTTATTTCATTTTCCGATAAATTTGTAATAATAATTTTTGTTATTGAAAATTTATTTATTTCGTTAAATGGGAGTTTTTAAACGCTCCCATTTCATTTTTATTTTTTCGAAATAAGTCATTTTTCTTTTTGATACTAAAGTCCCTTAGTTTTAAAATTCTTTAAATAATCGAAGCATTATATAGATTTTCACATTTTAAAATTCTCTAGATAGGACGAAGCACTTGAAGCAGTTTTTTACGAATGGATAAGTCGAAACAACTTAGTGAAGTTCCTTTAATGTTTTATAATAAAAACCTTTACAGAATTACTTGTTTACATGATCCGATTTTTATATGTCTATCTTTTTATTTATCGTTATGTATTTTTAATTAAAAATTTTTTACTACACTCTCCACGTTATGCCCGATCGTCGTAATCTGACGGATAATACCGTTATTGGACGCTACGCACCAATAACTGTCGTATCTGAGCCAGAATTTGACCGGTTGATGTCCGGGCCCCTGCGGGCCCAGCCATCACCCGGCCAAATTCTGGCCCAGATACTTTCCGTTATTGGATGCTTCGCATCCAATAACTATATATTATTCTACCTGTGATAGAAATTCGGAAAATGTTAGTATAAACTTCTGGTCTTTTTTTTTTAAAAAAAAAATACAGCCATGGTTAGTTACTACGAGGACGCGTGTCGTACTTAACTTTTTGTTATCACTTGGCAGCTAATAATGTATACTGTGTTACAGAGTTCGATTATAAGTCTGATAATAATTTGGATCTAAAACGATTATGGCTTTGACAATTAATGATTATCAACCGGCAATGAAAATGAAAAAAGTAAAAATTCATTACTATAATCGTAATTGTGTAATTTAATGCAATATCTAGCTCCAATATCATCTAATATCTAGGATCAAATATTCAGATCCTAGTACCGAAATACATTTAACAATGACAGGTGTAATTAATAAATTTGAGAAACATTTTAATACAACTTGTGCAAATATGAAAAAAGATCAACTAAACCCTAGCCATTAAAAACAACATGTCCACTATATACGTTAGGTTCAATTCGCGCTAATCTGGAAACGGATATTAATTAAATTGAATTTTCATATTTCTTTAAAGGTTTTTTCCGGACACTGTTTTTGTGAATTCCTCCTAATAAATTTTTTAATATACTTAATTTTTTGTACGTAATGGTAATTACTAATTTGTGTTTTATAACAGATTAATAATTACATCTCGCATTCGCATTTTTAAATGGGAAAGTCTTGGGACAGGCTTAATTCTTCAAGTTAAAATCTAGTCACAAGGATCTATTTCATAAGAACTAACTACATGGAATTACATTTAATCCGAAATTATTTTACCTGAGATATCAAATGAGTACTAGTGACAATAATTTACTAATAAAGTATTAAGATCGCCGACAAGTTATAGGGGTTGTAAATTTGCACGGGTTACGTTACATGGACGAAGGCTATGTAACCCGTGCAAATTTGATTATTTTATAACCGTATAATAATGATTAATTATGTGATCTGTAATTATTAAGATTATGTGTGATCTGTGATTATTACGTATTACGTGTAAAATCACCGAACAAATAATAATAATTATCACACAGTGTTGAGTCACAAATTTTATATTTAAACATTGCAGGTCTTCCGTAAAAATCAGCAAAGTTTTAAACAATTTGTCTAAATCTTTTGTAAAAATCAACCGACTAAAAAAAAATAAAACTAATGCCGAAAAGCAAAAAAAAGGTTATAAAACCTAAAAATAAGTTCCAAGAACAAAAAAATTACAAAAAACCAGAATACAACAAATTGATGATATGGGTATACTTAATAAACCACATAAAATTTTGAACTTATTAAAGTGTGATGTACCTCTACGTGTCCATGAATATGTTTCGAAGGAAGAAGTATTAAAAACTGAGAAACATTGTTATGAATGGGCGAAGGATTTTGGATTAATTGCGAAAAAGACTACGAATAAAGAATTTAAAGGAAGCAAATTCGGACTACTTATTTGTTACATATTTCCAACAACGCCCTTTGAAAGGCGTTGCCTTGCTATCGATTTTTTTAATTGGTTATTTTTTGTTGATGATTTAATTGATAATAATAAAGATTTAAAAGGAAAGCCTGAAGAAATAAAAATAATACTCGATAAATTCAAGAACATTTTGAATGATAAACCACAACCAGAATTTTTACAAAACCCAATAGCTATTGCGCTATGGGATGTATGGGCTAGAATGAAAAAAATAACCACAGAAGCATGGCAATTAAAGTTTCGTAATACTATTTCACTTTACTTTGATGCGTGCTGTGAAATGCACAAAATGAACATACAAATAGTATTCCTAATTCTGTGGATGCATATATCAAGATCAGAAGAAATTCAGGAGCAGTAATGACTAGTTTTAATTTAATTGAGCCCTTGCTCGGAATTCAAGTTTCGTATGATAATCAGGACTTGCAAAATCTTATGGATTACTGTAACGATCATACCGTACAGCGCGGACCATAGTACCCCGGGTACGATACATTCCACAGGCAAAATCCAAGTTAGTACCCGGGTATAATAAACAAAGGTACTTTACATAGAGACGGGTATAATGCTATATATAGTACCCGGGTATAATCATACAATACCCGGGTACTATATATAGCATTATACCCGGATACTATATATAGCATTATAACGATAAGGATATTACATCTACTTCTAAAAAGGTAAGTGTAACCAATCTTTGCTTG